GGGACGTGTCCTCGCTGTCATGGATGGGACGTGTCCTCGCTGTCATGGATGGGACGTGTCCTCGCTGTCATGGATGGGACGTGTCCTCGCAGTCACGGATTGGACGTGTCCTCGCTGTCACGGATTGGACGTGTCGGTTTCTGTCCTTGCTGTCATGTATAGGACGTGTCCTCGCTGTCATGGATTGGACGTGTCCTCGCAGTCATGTATGGGACGTGTCGGTTTCTGTACTCGCTGTCACGGATTGGACGTGTCCTCGCTGTCACGGATTGGACGTGTCCTCGCAGTCATGTCATGGGGACGTGCCGGTTTCTGTCCTCGCTGTCACGTATGGGACGTGCCGGTTTCTGTCCTCGCTGTCACGGATAGGACGTGTCCTCGCTGTCATGGATTGGATGTGTCGGTTTCTGTCCTCGCTGTCACGTATGGGACGTGTCCTCGCTGTCACGTATGGGACGTGTCCTCGCTGTCACGTATGGGACGTGTCCTTGCTGTCATGGATTGGACGTGTCCTCGCTGTCACGGATTGGACGTGTCCTCGCTGTCACGTATGGGACGTGTCCTCGCTGTCACGTATGGGACGTGTCCTCGCTGTCACGGATTGGACGTGTCCTCGCTGTCACGGATTGGACGTGTCCTCGCTGTCACGTATGGGACGTGTCCTCGCTGTCACGTATGGGATGTGTCCTCGCTGTCACGGATTGGACGTGTCCTCGCAGTCACGTATGGGACGTATCATTGTGAACCTTCCTGCAGCAAACATAAAGTGCCTTTTATTTCATGTACTTATTCCTTAGCAACTCCCTCCACCCCCAGCAAACGGACATTTGTGTGCCGAGATTGTTGTGTTTACCAGCGATAGCGGCTTGTATGTTAATGAGCTTAGCGATCGTCGGCTCGGCCACAGGATTAGCGCACGTCTCCGCCGGCCTCCCTACCTGGTAACCAGAACAAAAGTCCTGTAATTGGGAGGCGGGGATCTCACTCACCTTGTTCCAGGAGGAGAGAAAAGAAAAAGTCACTCGGCCAGTTTTCCAGAATCCTGCGATCAGCGAGGAGCCTCGGGAGACCTCCATAGACAGGTGAGCTTTGCACCGCTGCTCAAATCACAGCCAGCTTCTGCGACATCCCAGCCGCGGCGTCAGGGCTGCGGCTTATCAACAGCTCGTGCAGCTGCAGGGGAACCGCAACTCCCAGCATGATCATTGAGCCAGAGACTGATGGCATGCTGGGACTTGTAGTTCTTCAGCAGCAATGAAAAAAATGTCACTTGGAATTGCACATCGTGGGTTTCATTCATTCTTATTGGCACCCCATGCATGTCGCGTCACAAAACCGCATGAAGCTGGTCGGCGAAAGAGATGCAGGAGGTTCTTTGGTGTGTTTGTTGAGCCTGTGAATGGGCTTCCCTACGCGTGACCCGCGGAATCGCAGCAAAGGAAGTGGGGGGGGGGGGGCTCATTCCTATAATGCGAAGTGTGAATGACGCCTCGGGTGATGTCACACGGGCAATTTATTTGCCGCAAACTTTCCTTTTTTTTTTTTTTTTTTTTATTTTGCTAAAGCAATTTCTTGTGAAGGAAATCCGTAATTACTTTGTATCTTTTATTATTTTGTTTGGCATCGGTAATGCAGGCCGTACACGGGTCCAATTCTGAACGAATTTTCTTTAGAAAACCGGAAATTTCATGCATTTTGCGATCCGATGGCGCCATTGATTTCCAAATTCGACCAAACAAGCCTTCAATTTCACCAAATGTTGCTTCAGAAAATAATTTTCTCGGCCAAGAATTTGCTTTTCTTTCCAGGTCGCAGCTCACGCTCGTTATTTTATTACATTTCTCGCACGATTCTCCATCATTGAGTCGAAATTCGTTTGTTTTTCAAAAAATTTCCAACATGCCGATCGCTCAAATTCAATGGTTGCACGAAAACTGTCCGTTTCTGTGGCCCCACTAATGGTGCAAAATTCGAAAGAAAATTCTTTGGGAATTCGATCCGTGGGGCCGGCTTAAGTCGCTAATTTTTCAGCTGCATCAGTTTGAGGTGCGTTTTTTCATGTCTGCGTCAGCTCGCCGTACTCATTCGCTCGGCTCACCATACACATTCGCTCAGCTCGTCGTACTCATTCGCTCAGCTCACCGTGCACTTTCGCTCAGCTCTCCGTACTCATTCGCTCACTCTACATGCGCATTCGCTCAGCTCGCCGTACACATTCGCTCAGCTCTCCGTGCGCATTTTGCTCAGCTCTCCGTGCGCATTCGCTCAGCTCGTTGTACGCATTCGCTCAGCTCTCCATACACATTCGCTCAGCTCGTCGTACGCATTCGCTCAGCTCTCCATACGCATTCGCTCAGCTCGTCGTACGCATTCGCTCAGCTCTCGTACGCATTCGCTCAGCTCGTCGTACGCATTCGCTCAGCTCGTCGTACACATTCGCTGAGCTCTCCGTACACATTCGCTCAGCTCGTTGTACGCATTCGCTCAGCTCTCCGTACGCATTCGCTCAGCTCGTCGTACGCATTCGCTCAGCTCTCCGTACGCATTCGCTCAGCTCTCCGTACGCATTCGCTCAGCTCTCCGTACGCATTCGCTCAGCTCTCCGTACTCATTCGCTCAGCTCTCCGTACACATTCGCTCAGCTCTCCGTACACATTCGCTCAGCTCTCCGTACACATTCGCTCAGCTCTCCGTACACATTCGCTCAGCTCTCCGTACACATTCGCTCAGCTCTCCGTACTCATTCGCTCAGCTCTCCGTACTCATTCGCTCAGCTCTCCGTACGCATTCGCTCAGCTCGTCGTACCCATTCGCTCAGCTCGTCGTACGCATTCGCTCAGCTCTCCGTGCGCATTCGTTCAGCTCTCCGTGCACATTCGTTCAGCTCGCCCTGCGAATTCGCTCAGATCTCCGTGCGCATCCGTTCAGCTCGCTGTGCGCATTCGCTCAGATCTCCGTGCGCATTCGCTCAGCTCGCCGTACTCATTCGCTCAGCTCGCCGTACACATTCGCTCAGCTCGCCGTACATATTCACTCAGCATTCACCTCCATGGGTTGGCTGTAAATCGGTGAAGGGGCGCACACCAGCCCAACGCTGCAGCTCCAGCTTACCTTGCAGAGGCAACACCAGCGATGAAACTTTGCTGCAAATCGCTGCGGATTGCCGACATCGGAGCCCTGCTGCAAATCGATCTGTCTGATAGGAGATTCGATCGCTGGTGATTTGTCAGGATGCCTTTCACCCTCTGGAATCGCTTCAGCAGCATCCAGGACAGCGACCGAGCGACCTCTCCCCACATCTGCCTGCACAGGGAACGATGTCATAGGGGCAGGCAGCCTATTGATGGATCCTCCTGCTGGGGATTGGTCGCCCGTCTGACCTCACACTACAAACCTGGAAATATATTATGTTACTTCTCCTGATTTGTTACATTGCGATCGATCGTTGAATGACGTGCTGCGTATTCGATGGATTCCAGCTTCTGCGGCATCACTGGACACGGTCTGAGCTGGTCCGAGTGGATTCGTTTCAAAGCAAAATTTGCATTTTGTCACAAATTTCTAAGCTGAAGTCGATGTCCTGACCACTGAAATCTCATTTCATCTACAAAATGGTCCTGAATTTCAAAAAGCACTTTCAGGCTGCAGCTTTCATTAACATAATCCCTGGTGATCCCAGCATGGAGGTCTTTATTCGGGCACTTCCTGTTATAGGGTGACAACGCCTTGTCCCTGTGTCCTAATTGTGCTCCTGCGTTGTCATGCCTGGCGATCCCACCATGAAGGTTCCTGTTCAGGCACTTCCTGTTATAGGGTGACAACGCTCTGTCCCTGTCTCCTGCATTGTCATCCCTGCTGATCCCGCCATGAAGGTTCTTGTTCAGGCACTTCCTGTTATAGGGTGACAACACCCTGTCCCTGCCTCCTAATTGTCCTCTGGTATTGTCATCCCTGGTGATCCCACCATGGAGGTCTTTATTCGGGCACTTCCTGTTATAGGGTGACAACACCTTGTCCCTGTGTCCTAATTGTGCTCCTGCGTTGTCATGCCTGGCGATCCCACCATGAAGGTTCCTGTTCAGGCACTTCCTGTTATAGGGTGACAACGCTCTGTCCCTGTCTCCTGCATTGTGTTCCTGCGTTGTCATCCCTGCTGATCCCGCCATGAAGGTTCTTGTTCAGGCACTTCCTGTTATAGGGTGACAACACCCTGTCCCTGCCTCCTAATTGTCCTCTGGTATTGTCATCCCTGGTGATCCCACCATGGAGGTCTTTATTCGGGCACTTCCTGTTATAGGGTGACAACACTCTGTCCCTGTCTCCTATGTGGGCTTCTGATAGAGACTACAAGTGGCCTTTCCCACACATTACGCAGATATGGTCCACTTTGGTTGCCATCAGGAAACCCACCCTGACACATGCCACGCAGCCATCACTGGAGACAGGAAGTGGCTGCAAAGAGGCTGCAGAAGACCTGCAGTACTGAGGTGCATTACACGATGGGAAACGGAGGAACTGAAATGTAATTTGGGGCTATGTCTCCTGAATGAAGCAGATTGCAGGGACTGTAACCTCCTGTGACTTTGGTCAGTTTATTGTCACCAAGTAGCTCTCCACCCGGGGTCAGGGCAGGGAAGACAGAGGGACAGGGCCGCCGCGTAGGGAGGAGGAGAGAGGACGGGCAGCACAGGGGGAGGATGGGGCAGCGCAGGGAGGACATGACGGCCACCGGAGACGGTGCATTCACCGCCTGTCAGGGCACATAGTAACCGCCAGGTAGACGGAGGGATAAGCCGCCTTTGATCTCATTAATCCCACTTTGTTTGCAAACACAAGTAACTGTCTGGAGACCATTGTGCACTCATAGCCATGTCCCTCCATTAGGGGGCACTCCTACCCACAATGCATTGCAGATTATAGGACTTCTAAATAAAGACGAATCTAAATGGACTTGTATAACCAGATCACTGACTGAGGTCCCTGTCCTGGAAGAACACTGATGTTCCCCCACTGACACCAATGATGGGGCACTATTTCCTCCCCTCACTGACACCAATGATGGGGCGCTATTCCCCACTCCCAATGATGACACCTCCCACTGACACCAATGATGGGGCACTATTCCTCCCACTGACACCAATGATGGGGCACTATTCCACCCACTGACACCAATGATGGGGCACTATTCCTCCCACTGCCATCAATAATGGGGCACTATTCCTCCCACTGACACCAATGATGGGACACTATTCCTCCCACTGACACCAATGATGGGGCGCTATTCCTCCCACTGACACCAATGATGTGGGGCACTATTCCTCCCACTGACACCAATGACGGGGGCACTATTCCTCCCACTGACACCAATGATGGGGCACTATTCCTCCCACTGACACCAATGATGGGGGGGTTTTCCTCCCACTGACACCAATGATGGGACACTATTCCTCCCACTGACACCAATGACGGGGTGCTAAATTCCTCCCACTGACACCAATGATGGGGCACTTTTCCTCCCACTGACACCAATGATGGGACACTATTCCTCCCACTGATACCAATGGTGGGGCACTATTCCTTCCACTGACACCAATGATGGGGCGCTATTCCTCCCACTGACACCAATGATGGGGCACTATTCCTCCCACTGACACCAATGATGGGGCGCTATTCCTCCACTGACACCAACACCATGGGGCACTATTCCTCCCACTGACACCAATGATGGGGCACTATTCCTAAACCTTTTTTTTGTGTTTTGGATGGAGGGGTGAGACCCCTTGTCAGATTTTCTCTCTATTTCTCCTGTTTACACTGAGAGTGAAAGAAAATCCCAAATTTTGGGCTGTCACCAAAACAGGAATAGAGGGGAAACCTTCCAATGGGGACACTGGTTCTGGTGACCTGGGGGATTCCCTTCATTTGCAGGGATTTCCTCTCACTTCCTGTTTGGCAATGGGACAGGAAGTGAAGGGAAATCTCCCCCACGGGGACACAGATGGCAAAAATAATCCTTACAGGGGTCCTCACCATCCCTTCCTCCATCCAAAATGAAAGTTTTGCCCAGAGCTCCACTTGAAGGGTATTTCGGATGTTTCGCAGATATTCTCGTTTCTTTTTCTCCCTGACCTCGTTCACACGGGGTGTATGAATCCATGTGGGGGCACAGCCCGGGCCTGGATCCTGAGAGAACCCGCTGCTGGACATCCAATAGGAAGTGTCCTTGTCAGGCAGGCAGTGGAATGGACACCCATGGAAGGACCCCTCCAGGAAGTCCCAGGTCTGGATCCTGAGATCACCCCGCTGCTGGACATCCAATAGGAAGTGTCCTTGTCAGGCAGGCAGTGGGATGGACACCCATGGAAGGACCCCTCCAGGAAGTCCCAGGTCTTGATCCTGAGAGAACCTTGCTGCTGGGCATCCAATAGGAAGTGTCCTTGTCAGGCAGGCAGTGGGATGGACACCCGTGGAAGGACCCCTCCAGGAAGTCCCAGGTCTGGATCCTGAGAGGACCCCGCTGCTGGACATCCAATAGGAAGTGTCCTTGTCAGGCAGGCAGTGGGATGGACACCCGTGGAAGGACCCCTCCAGGAAGTCCCAGGTCTGGATCCTGAGAGAAACCCGCTGCTGGACATCCAATAGGAAGTGTCCTTGTCAGGCAGGCAGTGGGATGGACACCCGTGGAAGGACCCCCCCCAGGAAGTCACAGGGTTGGAGCAGCATGTGGCCGCAGTTCCAGGTCAGTGAAGCGGTTGATTCTTCTAAATGCGGCGCTCAGCTTATCCCCGCCCCCAGGGGGAGGGGCATAGTGGTGAGGCCGGCCTCTGCCTTCTCAGGCCCATGAGTGAACCCATCCCCCACCCAAGGGCAATAGAAGCGCCTCGTCCAAATGGCGGCCAGGAGATTCGCCGCGACAGGCGTGAGGACTTGGGCTGCGTTCACACTTTGGACGCGGAAAAGTCGCAGCCCGTTGTTTTCATGGCAGCCATTCCGATCCGGGCGACTTAGAAAAGGTTCCCGCGCTACTTTGAGGCGACGAGCGCCAGACAGTGTAAAGTCGCATCAAAGTCGCACGAGTGTGAACGGAGCCGGTGACAGCCCAGCCACCATCATGGTCACAGTTGCTCGCGTTCTTAAGCGAACTGTCAGGCCATCTAACGTCATAACTGATCACGTGCAGCACCATGGCAACCGCAGGTCAGCCGCTTCCTTGGCTGTAGGCCTTGTTTACATTTGTGGTTTGGAGGGGGCGGTAGAACCCTGTGGTTGAGCCTTGTGTTTACCGACCCTAAACTCTTTACCCTTCAGCTGGGAAAGCCGCGGCGGGGGGGTGGTAAACATGCTGGTGACGGTGGAATGATACCCCCGTTGTGCTCACGGGCCCATAACCCTAGTGAATGGGGCTGCACGCGACGCACGCGGTTGCAGCATTTTGGCGGTGAAACGAGGAGGAGATACAACACCGCCTCCCAGACGCTCAAATGCTCGCTGAAGAACAATCCGAATGTGGATCGCTCTTCAGGCAGCAAAACCGTCCGCTACGCCTCCATGCGGGGCATTTTAGGGGCGTTTCCATCAAACGTTATAGAGAGCGCATCAAACACGCGGCGTGCGGGACGTTTTGCGGCGCCCCCACAGCGCACAGGTGTGGCGAGGCGGGTTTGATGCCGACTCTTTCCGGGAATCTCCTGACGGAATCGATCGATCCCACCGCAATCAGCACTGACCTGGAGTGGCAGTCCTGGGTGCGCACGGCGGTCACTGTGCAGAGCCGCCTCCCACATGAGATTAGCGCACCGTGCGTCTGCATAGCGCAAGGCTTTTGTTTTTTTTTTTCAACTTTATTTGTACCGTTATGTACTGACACTCGGATTGTTGCTCACTGGGGGCGGAAAAAGTGTGATATCCTGCAGTGGCCCCTCAGTATGGGGGGAGGGGAGGGGGGGCAGTATCAGGAAGGTCCAGCAGTGTACACAGAGGTGTGAGGTCACCATGGAGCTGTATACAGGGCTGTTTGCTGTAGATAAGTCTGTCACCTGCCCTGTATATAGGTGACATGGAGACACTACACACAGCTGTTGTCATGGGAACCGGGACATCACTTTCCTGTCACAGATCTGAGTGATTACCCCCCACCGGGGCACTGCTGGGGGGGGGGGGGGGGGGTAAACACAACACACCTGAACTCAGTGGGGGGGGGGGGGGGGGTGGTAAACTCACAACACACCTGAACTCTGGGGGGGGGTAAACACAACACACCTGAACTCAGTGGGGGGGGGGGGGGGCTGGGGGTGGTAAACTCACAACACACCTGAACTCTGGGGGGGGGGGGGGCTGGGGGTGGTAAACTCACAACACACCTGAACTCTGGGGGGGGGGGGGGGCTGGGGGTGGTAAACTCACAACACACCTGAACTCAGTGGGGGGGGGGCTGGGGGTGGTAAACTCACAACACACCTGAACTCTGGGGGGGGGGGGGGGGGGTAAACTCACAGCACACCTGAAGGTAAGGCTCCACCCACACTGGGGGGGCGTTTAGATAGCGCTGGAAACATTCGCTTTGAATAGTCATGTTACAAATGTGCGTTTTTTAGTGGTTTTGCATTGGAACGTTTTGCCGCATTTGCGGTTTTTTACTGGGTTTTTTTTGCCTTTTTTTTTTTTTTTAAAAAAAAAAAATATTGGGGTCACAAAAGCATCCAAAAACACCAGTTTGTGACGGTTTACTACGTTTTTTAGTGTTTTTCAGCGTTAGGCTACATTCACACTGAACTCCTGCCTGACGCCCCGATAGTGTATGACAGGCAGACAGGGGAAGTTTTTACCGCTCCCCAAGTGTCCTATGTGCGTTTTTGAGGCGTTTGCAAAGCGTTAAATCCGCGCCCAGGAACGCCTATAATACAGCATATAATGGTACTGATGGCCCACAAACGCCCCGCAAACAAACCTCGCAAACGCCCCGCAAACCCCCCCGCAAACACCCCTTGCAAACCCCCGCAAACACCCCGCAAACACCTCGCAAACACCTCGCAAACGCCTCGCAAACACCCCGCCGCAACACCCCGCAAAACCCCCGCAAACACCTCGCAAACGCCTCGCAAACCCCCCGCAAACCCCCCACCCGCAAACACCCCGCAAACCCCCGCAAACACCTCGCAAACACCTCGCAAACGCCTCGCAAACCCCCCCAAACCCTCGCAAACACCCCGCAAACACCCCCAAACCCCGCAAACGCCTCGCAAACCCCTCGCAAACCCCCCCCAAACCCCCCCAAACCCCCGCAAACACCTCGCAAACACCCCGCAAACCCCCCCAAACCCCCAAACCCCCCCAAACCCCCCCGCAAACCCCCCCCCCCAAACCCCCCCCCCAAACCCCGCCCCCCCAAACACCTCCCCCCCCCCCCCCCCCCCAAACCCCCCAACCCCTCGCCCCCCCACCCCGCAAACCCCCGCAAACCCCCCAAACCTCCCCCGCAAACCCCCCCCCACCCCGCCCGCCCGCAAACACCCCGCAAACACCCCGCCACCCGCCCCTCGCAAACCCCCCGCAAACGCCTCACAAACCCCCCCCAAACCCCTCGCCAACCCCCCCCCCCCCGCCCCCCCAAACCCCCCCAAACACCCCCCCCCCCCCCCCCCCCCGCCCCCCCCCAAACCCCCCCCCTCCCCCCCCCCGCAAACCCCCCAAACCCAAACCCCTCGCCCCCCCCCCCCCCCAAACCCTCGCCGCCTCACAAACCCCCCCAAACACCCCCCAAACCCCCCCCCCCCCCCGCAAACCCCCGCAAACCCCCCAAACCCCCTCCCAAACGCCCCGCAAACACCCCGCAAACACCCGCAAACCCCCCCCCCCCTCGCAAACGCCCTCGCAAACCCCCAAACCCCCCCCCCCCCCCCCCCCCCCCAAACGCCCCCCCGCCCCGCAAACGCCCCAAACCCCCCCCCCAAACGCCCCCCCCCCCCCCCCAAACCCCCCCCCCCCCCCGCAAACCCCCCCCCCCCCCCCCCCCCAACGCCTCGCCCCCGCCCCCCAAACGCCTCGCAAACGCCCCGCAAAAAACACCCGCAAACCCCCCGCAAACGCCCCACCGCCTCGCAAACGCCTCGCAAACACCTCGCAAACGCCTCGCAAACCCCCCGCAAACGCCCCGCAAACGCCTCGCAAACGCCTCGCAAACACCCCGCAAAACGGCGCCAATCGCAAAAACGCCGCAAATGCCCCGCAATCGCCCCGCAAATACCCCGCAATCGCCCCGCAAACGCCGGCCAGCATTAATGGACATCACTAAACTAGACTGGAATGGGAGTGTGCCGCCATGTGCAGAATTCTCATAGGCGTCCTGAGAAGCATTAAAAATGGGCACAGCGGGTGTACAGACCCGGGAACTCGGCACAGGGATGGTGGGAACCCTCATAATGGGCACAGCGGGGGTACAGACCCGGGAACTCGGCACAGGGATGGTGGGAACCCCTCATAATGGGCACAGCGGGGGGTACAGACCCGGGAACTCGGCACAGGGATGGTGGGAACCCCTCATAATGGGCACAGCGGGGGTACAGACCCGGGAACTCGGCACAGGGATGGTGGGAACCCCTCATAATGGGCACAGCGGGGTACAGACCCGGGAACTCGGCACAGGGATGGTGGGAACCCCTCATAATGGGCACAGCGGGGGTACAGACCCGGGAACTCGGCACAGGGATGGTGGGAACCCCTCATAATGGGCACAGCGGGGGTACAGACCCGGGAACTCAGCACAGGGATGGTGGGAACCCCTCATAATGGGCACAGCGGGCGTACAGACCCGGGAACTCAGCACAGGGATGGTGGGAACCCCTCATAATGGGTACAGCGGGCGTACAGACCCGGGAACTCGGCACAGGGATTGTGGGACCCCTCATAATGGGCACAGCGGGGGTACAGACCCGGGAACTCGGCACAGGGATGGCGGGAACCCCTCATAATGGGCACAGCGGGGGTATAGACCCGGGAACTCGGCACAGGGATGGCGGGAACCCCTCATAATGGGCACAGCGGGTGTACAGGGATGGTGGGACCCCTCACAATGGGCACAGCGGGTGTACAGGGATGGTGGGACCCCTTATAATGGGCACAACGGGTGTACAGGGATGGTGGGACCCCTTATAATGGGCACAACGGGTGTACAGGGATGGTGGGACCCCTCACAATGGGCACAGCGGGTGTACAGGGATGGTGGGACCCCTCATAAATGGGCACAGCGGGTGTACAGGGATGGTGGGACCCCTCATAATGGGCACAGCGGGTGTACAGGGATGGTGGGACCCCTCATAATGGGCACAGCGGGTGTACAGGGATGGTGGGACCCCTCATAAATGGGCACAGCGGGTGTACAGGGATGGTGGGACCCCTCATAAATGGGCACAGCGGGTGTACAGGGATGGTGGGACCCCTCATAATGGGCACAGCGGGGTACAGGGATGGTGGGAACCCCTCACAATGGGCACATGATGTTGTGAATGGTGTATACAGATGTATCCTCATGTCCCATGAGGCATTGCAGGGCCGGCAGGTACAGACACGACTCCCAGAGACATGCTGGGCCTTGTAGTTCCACGCTTTGCCCTCCCCGGTTCTGTGTTCCTGAGCGCTCGGCGCCCTCTGCTGGATGACAGGTGTAGTTCACACTCTATAGATGGCGGTCCTGGAAGCTTGCTGTTTCCATGGTTACAGGCAGGAAGCCGCGTACCCCAGTAGGGGGAGCCCTGGGTCCTAGACTCCGCCATGCGGCCTCCCCATTCATGTGGCCTGTCCTCACAATGGGTGTGAATGGAGGCGGGGGAGGGGGAGGGGAGTGAGGGGAGATTTGTGTGTAATCTGCTCATAGAATGCTCCTCCGATCACAGGGGCCCATGACTGTCCTCTGGGGGCCCTGTATAGATGAGTACGGCGGAGGAGGGCCCGGACCCCGCTGAGGACAGTCTGGAAGCCGTCATACAGGTGGGTGACACCCAGGGGGGGCGTCCAGACGGGGGGGGGGAGGACATTAGAGTGTAAGCTCCTCTGGTACACAGACTGATGGGACTGTGGGGGGAGGACATTAGAGTGTAAGCTCCTCTGGTACACAGACTGATGGGACTGTGGGGGGAGGGGACATTAGAGTGTAAGCTCCTCTGGTACAGAGACTGATGTGACTGTGGGGGAGGGGACATTAGAGTGTAAGCTCCTCTGGTACAGAGACCGATGTGACTGTGGGGGAGGGGACATTAGAGTGTAAGCTCCTCAGTACAGAGACTGATGGGACTGCGGGGGATGGGACATTAGAGTGTAAGCTCCTCAGTACAGAGACTGATGGGACTGTGGGGGGAGGGGACTTTAGAGTGTAAGCTCCTCAGTACAGAGACTGATGGGACTGTGGGGGGAGGGGACTTTAGAGTGTTAGCTCCTCTGGTACAGAGACTGATGGGACTGTGGGGGAGGGGACATTAGAGTGTAAGCTCCTCTATACAGAGACTGATGGGACTGTGGGGGAGGGGACATTAGAGTGTAAGCTCCTCTGGTGCAGAGACTGATGTGACTGCGGGGGAGGGGACATTAGAGTGTAAGCTCCTCTGGTACAGAGACTGATGGGACTGTGGGGGGGGAGGGGACATTACAGTGTAAGCTCCTCTGGTGCAGAGACTGATGGGACTGTGGGGGAGGGGACATTAGAGTGTAAGCTCCTCTGTACAGAGACTGATGTGACTGTGGGGGGAGGGGACATTAGAGTGTAAGCTCCTCTGGTACAGAGACTGATGGGACTGTGGGGGAGGGGACATTAGAGCGTAAGCTCCTCTGGTACAGAGACTGATGGGACTGTGGGGGAGGGGACATTAGAGTGTAAGCTCCTCTGGTGCAGAGACCGATGTGACTGTGGGGGAGGGGACATTAGAGTGTAAGCTCCTCTGTACAGAGACTGATGGGACTGTGGGGGAGGGGGACATTAGAGTGTAAGCTCCTCAGTACAGAGACTGATGGGACTGTGGGGGAGGGGACATTAGAGTGTAAGCTCCTCAGTACAGAGACTGATGGGCCTGGCTCAGTGATCTCTGTACTGCGCTGCGGTATATGTCAGAGCTATATATATGTATAATAATAATAGTGTGTGGCTGTTGGGGGGATATTAGAGTGTCAGCTCCTGTGGTGTTGATCAGCTGATGGAGCCCTGAGTGTGTATTGATCTTCCAGCGTGCTGGTAATTATTTTCTGTGTACAGCTGACCCGTATATCTGTGATGCTTGGTGGTTCGCGGTGTGGGAGGAGCCTATAATCGATGGCGGGTGATTGCAGTGGGTTGTTCTGTGTGTCTCGGTGTGACTTGTGATGTTCGTTCTCTTCCAGAAATTGACCCTCCGGGTCCTGCGTGTTCCGGATCAGAGGTCCCTCACTGTTCGCGGTGACACCATCGACCCCGCCCCGTCCTCCCTGCCGCTTCGTATCCGACAGATCGTCACGGAGAACCTCAGTCCTCCCCCGGAGCCAGGTGAGTGGCGGGTGCGGACCCTGTGCTGGGTAATGAGGTGTCACTGACCAGGTAATGTCCTCTGCAGGTGACACCGCAGACATGTCCTCCCTCCTCTCCGTACAAGAGGAGAATCGCATCCTGCAGCAGGAGCTGTCCCGGGTGGAGGATCTCCTGGCGCAGAGCCGCGCAGAGAGGGACGAGCTCGCCATCAAATACAACGCCATCAGTGAGCGGGTGAGTTGTACCCTCCGGGCCGCTTTGTACATCGCTCCTGCCGTTGTCGCCGTTTATTACATGGGTGGAACACAGAGTGCAGCCATGGCACCAGTATACCAGTGCATGTTTCCTTGTTACAGCCTGTGTAGAGGGGTGGGTGTGTCTATTCCCTCCACTCAGGTCTCAGATTACACTTAGCTCCCTGTGAAGTGTGTGACAGCAGACCCCACCCCCCCTGCCTGCTGGAGCTCAGACATTCTGTGTAGAATGCATGCTTTCAGAAGGGCTGTAGTGGAATGAGGACGGCAGATAAACAGGTACAACTTATGCAGGAGCGTTTGATTCATCTCTGCGTATTTTTTAATACTTAGAATTTTTTTTTTAGCAGAAAAGCAAACATTTATTACATTGCAGCTGACCGATTCTTAGATGTGATGGCCGCATTAGTTTTCTTTTTTCTAGACTTTTTATTTTATTTTCATCTGCTGATTGTTTTTAAAAAAAACAAAAAACAATCTCTCCTGCAGATGCAGCAGTTAGAGGGTTCTGACATTCCATGTACCACTGACAGAGGTGCTTACAATGATCAGCGTTTATTTATCGATGTAAAACCTTCATCCCAAAAGGAAGTAAACTGTCACTGATTCTAAAGTGTGAGCCGGAGATTGACTTCAGTTTGTTAGTGTATCTAAATCTGCTAGTGCATCTAACCCCACCTCCCCCAGGACTGACCATGCTGCTGTCCAAAGGTGCTCCTTCCTCCAGAGTGGGGGCGCTCTAATACAGGAGGTGTGTTACTGGCCAGATCACCGGGGGAAAAAGACGAAAAAGGAAAACTAATGCAGCCGCCACATCTGATGATTGGTGAGGTGCAGTGTGGGACATTTCTGGTTTTGGGATTAATACAAGTGTAGGAAATCCTCCTGCGTTGGGATTGGTTGGTGCGGAGGCGTCCCCATCTGTCCCCATCCTTTTCTCACATTCATCCCATTCATCTCCGCTTCGCTGTGCCGCCCTCGGTCAGTGAGAGTCGTGTCCGGACAGGCAGCGGGCACAGGGGGCACATCAGGCAGGCTGAGACTTGCCTGCAGTCAGTGTGGCGTGTGACATCGGTGACGCACCGAGCGCTGTCATTGTCAGCTCACATATTTCCCAGGCTGCTGCTCAGACCCCCCAGCGGGAAGCTTTGACCAGGGGCCCCTGCACTGCTGAGAAGAGTGCCAGCTCTGGGACCCGGTCACTCCTATTACAGGCCAATGGCCGCCTCACCCTGCTGATCAGACCCCCCAGCGGGAAGCTTTGACCAGGGGCCCCTGCACTGCTGAGAAGAGTGCCAGCTCTAGGACCCGGTCACTCCTATTACAGGCCAATGGCCGCCTCACATTGCTGCTCAGACCCCCCAGCAGGAAGCATTGACCAGGGGACCCTGCACTGCTGAGAAGAGTGCCAGCTCTGGGACCCGGTCACTCCTATTACAGGCCAATGGCCGCCTCACCCTGCTGATCAGACCCCCCAGCGGGAAGCATCGACCAGGGGCCCCTGCACTGCTGAGAAGAGTGCCAGCTCTGGGACCCAGTCACTCCTATTACAGGAAATGGCCGCCTCACCCTGCTGATCAGACCCCCCAGCGGGAAGCATCGACCAGGGGCCCCTGCACTGCTGAGAAGAGTGCCAGCTCTGGGACCCAGTCACTCCTATTACAGGAAATGGCCGCCTCACCCTGCTGATCAGACCCCCCAGCGGGAAGCATCGACCAGGGGCCCCTGCACTGCTGAGAAGAGTGCCAGCTCTAGGACCCGGTCACTCCTATTACAGGCCAATGGCCGCCTCACCCTGCTGATCAGACCCCCCAGCGGGAAGCATCGACCAGGGGCCCCTGCACTGCTGAGAAGAGTGCCAGCTCTGGGACCCAGTCACTCCTATTACAGGAAATGGCCGCCTCACCCTGCTGATCAGACCCCCCAGCGGGAAGCATCGACCAGGGGCCCCTGCACTGCTGAGAAGAGTGCCAGCTCTAGGACCCGGTCACTCCTATTACAGGCCAATGGCCGCCTCACCCTGCTGATCAGACCCCCCAGCGGGAAGCATCGACCAGGGGCCCCTGCACTGCTGAGAAGAGTGCCAGCTCTGGGACCCGGTCACTCCTATTACAGGAAATGGCCGCCTCACCCTGCTGATCGCTCGCCGTGTCCCCAATCGCAGATCTGCGTCTCTATAGATGATAAAGTCCTCCAACATCCGTCCCACCTCCGAATGATTCAGTCTGGTGACACCAATAGAGAGGAGGATCCAATGGGGACACAAATCTGTGAGTTACCCACAATTCACCGGACCGGCCGCATGTCCAGACTTCTCCAATCCTCCGCGTTCTTCTACAGCAACGGGATCATTTATCAGACAACCTCCACCTTCATCATTAAAGGTCCTTCAGCTCCACTCAGTGACTGTGCCTAGGCTGAGATGATGTCATCAGTCTGCTGCAGGCAGGAAGAAGCATTTTCTCAGTCTCCCTCTCCCCCAGTGATCAGACTGTACATTGTAACTTTGTAGAAGGAGGAGAAGGCATTTCCTCAGTCTCCCCTCCCCCAGTGATCAGACTGTACATTGTAACTTTGTAGAAGGAAGAGGAGGAGGTATTTCCTCAGTCTCCCCTCCCCCAGTGATCAGACTGTACATTGCAACTTTGTAGAAGGAAGAGGAGGAGGCATTTACTCAGTCTCTCCTCCCCCAGTGATCAGACTGTACATTGTAACTTTGTAGGAGGAAGAGGCACTCCTCAGTCTCCTCCCCCAGTGATCAGACTGTACATTGTAACTTTGTAGAAGGAGGAGGAGGCGTTTCCTCAGTCTCCCTCCCCCCAGTGATCAGACTGTACATTGTAACTTTGTAGAAGGAGGAGGAGGCATTTCCTCAGTCTCCCTCCCCCCAGTGATCAGACTGTACATTGTAACTTTGTAGCAAGTCACAAGGTGTGAGGTTGCAGTGGGGGCTGATCTGTGTCAGACATTTGTAAACACAGCCAGGAACTGCACAGGCACCAGGATTTACCTGATTGTGTCATCTGTGAGCCAGTAGATAGTGAAACTGATGTCTGAACAAAGATGGTGCTGTGTTCCTGGAGAGAATAGCAGATGAAGGCATTGTCCCGGGGGGTACAGAGAAATGACAGACAGGGACACTTAGAGGGATGACTGGAGGGACACTGAGAGAAATGACAGACAGGGACACTGAGAGGGATGACTGGAGGGAGCACTGAGCGGGATGACTGGAGGGAGCACTGAGAGGGATGACTGGAGGGAGCACTGAGAGGGATGACTGGAGGGACACTGAGAGGGATGACTGGAGGGGGAGCACTGAGAGGGATGACTGGAGGGAGCACTGAGAGGGATGACTGGAGGGAGCACTGAGAGGGATGACTGGAGGGAGCACTGAGAGGGATGACTGGAGGGAGCACTGAGAGGGATGACTGGAGGGAGCACTGAGAGGGATGACTGGAGGGAGCACTGAGAGGGATGACTGGAGGGAGCACTGAGAGGGATGACTGGAGGGAGCACTGAGAGGGATGACTGGAGGGAGCACTGAGAGGGAGCACTGAGAGGGATGACTGGAGGGAGCACTGAGAGGGATGACTGGAGGGACACTGAGAGGGATGACTGGAGGGATGACTGGAGGGACACTGAGAGGGATGACTGGAGGGACACTGAGCGGGATGACTGGAGGGAGCACTGAGAGGGATGACTGGAGGGACACTGAGAGGGATGACTGGAGGGACACTGAGCGGGATGACTGGAGGGAGCACTGAGAGGGATGACTGGAGGGACACTGAGAGGGATGACTGGAGGGAGCACTGAGAGGGATGACTGGAGGGAGCACTGAGAGGGATGACTGGAGGGAGCACTGAGAGGGATGACTGGATGGAGCACTGAGAGGGATGACTGGAGGGAGCACTGAGAGGGATGACTGGAGGGACACTGAGAGGGATGACTGGAGGGACACTGAGAGGGATGACTGGAGGGAGCACTGAGAGGGATGACTGGAGGGAGCACTGAGAGGGATGACTGGAGGGACACTGAGAGGGATGACTGGAGGGAGCACTGAGAGGGATGACTGGAGGGAGCACTGAGAGGGATGACTGGAGGGAGCACTGAGAGGGATGACTGGAGGGACACTGAGAGGGATGACTGGAGGGACACTGAGAGGGATGACTGGAGGGACACTGAGCGGGATGACTGGAGGGAGCACTCCGCTGGCGGGAGCCCGGATGGACATGGAGGCTCCTCCCCCTATAGAGGGACGTCACATGGAATGTGTGCATTCTTCGGTACAATAGCCGGCCATTGTAATAAACGCCCCCCTCCCCTCCCCCCCTTTATGGTGATAAAGATGGGAATGCCTGTCAGGAGCTCATTATATATGCGGGACTGCAGAGATCTGGTCCACAGAGCTAGCACTCCTCTTTCATAGTCGCTGTGATTGGATACTGACCAGAGACTTTGCTCATATTGATGGGCACCAGTTTGGTCAGCGGTGAGCGTCCCTCTATGTGCGCCATTGTCTCCGTGTCACCATCCTCTCTTTATGGCCCCACCGGTGACCGGCACAATGGCGTGAATTGGCGGTCGCTGTGGTGACGGTTGCCGGGGAGACGGTAAAACTCATCGCATTCAGTGCGCCCGTGTCTGGCGAGGGACAATGGGCATTCTTCCAGGGTCTTTATTGGAGGATCTGGATGGTGGCTGCACTGTGCAGAGAACGTGTCCAACCCAGATGACCAATCGTGTGGTCCTCACCGGCCCCGGGACCCCGGACTGCCCCCCAAATCTCAGATTATGCCCCATACATTGCCACCTGTAGTGCCCCCCACCCCCCCCCCTCCACAGGATAGAGGTGACCACTGTTCCAGGATCCCTTGGTATGTGTTCTGGTGTAGTCAGTCCACCTTCTGAAGGGTTCAATGACCAAAATCCACAATGGTTATCCGCCTGGTGGGGGGCACTGACCTTCGATGGAGGGGCCCT